CTTATTATGAAATGAGTTACATCTTGCTATAGATGGATTCATGAAGGATCGTTTGGTAATCATTTGTTGAATATAACTTTAATATGCTTGGTTTTTGGATTGATACAAACATGCTCTTCATTAACTTTGGCATTATAAAATTTGGCTTATGGATGTGTTAAGGAGGATATTGTGGGTTGTACCATGATTTCTTCTTTATCATTAAAGTTAGTTTATGTGAAACTCATGATCATTATTAAGCAAAACTTAATTTTTGATTTCTTGAGTTTTCATGCTTGTGATCCATTTGTTGTAAAGGAAGGCATTTGGCTCATTAGCTTTAATATTAGCTTCAATATTGACATTCAAATTTGACTTTACATATAGCAATCATTAGTGATAATTGACTATCATCTAGGATAGTTTATCAAAACTTTTGCTTGATTATTATTAATCTAGAATGATTTGTTGTTTATCAGGATCGTGGATTTTTTCTTCAATGATGATTATGATAGGATGATTGATGATCTTTCATAATAATTATTCTCTTTAATTGATTTTGGCTTTTCGTATTATTACATATTCTTTTGTGGTTTGCTCTACATTGGTCTCTTAAGTTTGAGATGTCGGTAGGATAATGCTAACACTTAATTAAGCAACTTAAGTTTCTTAGTATTATTGACTGGAATCTATTTAGATTAGGAATCTTTCTTTATTGCCATGACGGTAGGAGCTCGGTATTGTTAGACACTTTATTAGTCAGTTGAGAAACTAATCATCATATGTGTATTTAGATCAAAAAGGCACTAAGGAAGAAAATCCTAAGTTGTCATTTAGTCAAACATATTTGACATGGTCATGAGAAACTCATGTTGTTGGCTTGCACTTGCTAGTATTGGGAACCCTTACAATATTGAGTTTGGTCCCTCATTATTCATTAAATGATAGTTTACCATGTCTGCCAAACATCTTCGCTATCATGCCTTTTGTGTTAGTCTTATTTCAGTTTTAAATGCTATTTATAAAAAATGTCTAGATTTGCTCATTTGGCATATCTACGGAATGTAGAAATTTTTTTGAACACAATGGTGTTCATCCCATATTCAAATTCACAATCTAAAAACATTTCATATTTAGTAAGTTTTAAGTTTATCTTAAAGATTAATTCTTGGTATTAATGGTTGCTAAAGGTGAAAGCCCAAAGTATAGATTCCTTAGGGGGGTGGAACGTTCCAAATGTATAATAGGAATAATGGGTAGGTTGGGCATAGTTGATAAACTTGAGATATAGTTTAATTTCCGTTTGCATGCCTCTCTTTATTTTGCATCTGGCTTGGGTCTAAGCCCAAGTTCCACACTATGCTAGTTAGTGGAGTACCCATATCCTTGCATTATGCCACTGATATGTTAAAATAGCACTATACTTTGTTTAGCTTTATTTTACGTGTTAGTTTTAGCATTGGGATATTAAATATTTTAGGACTGTTCCAAGTCATTCCGTACTCTTGTCCCTTTACTCCTTGGGCTGTACATTTGGGAATTATTCTGTGCTCTAGTTCCGTCACTCTTTGGCTCCATGCTTAAGAGTTTGACTTCGTTCTTTTGTTTATTAGCCCAAAGCTCTAAAATTTAAGTTCCACTCCATTATTCTTGGTGACATGTGGCATTATATAACATGTGGTATATTGGCATATGAAGGGTTTAAGTTTTGCTTCGTGGTTATCTTATAATAAATTACTATAAAATAAAGGGTAAAAACCATATGCATTACACCCTCCTACTATAAACTTGGTAATTTAACTTAAAAAGTACCTTACAAATTAAAATTTAATTATGTTTAATAAACAGTTGCCAACCATTGTGGCTTGGGAGTCCTCTTGGCCATGGCTATGACCAACCCTTCTGGGTGTGGTTGTGGCTGTGGCTAGCCCAATAGCCTAGTTGTGGTTGTGGCAAGCTCTCATATGGTTTTGGTTTTAGTTGTGGCTGAGGCTAAGTTGTGGGGCATGTAAGTTTTACTATTACTTAAAAATGTATATAGTTATATAAGAAAGGTATGATATCCTAATCCTAATGTTTTAATCACTTACAAAAATGTAGTTGTTATTGTCAATCTTTTTAGCAAGCTTTGCTACATTTAGAAGACTCATACTTGATAAGGTTGGTATATCATGTCAAGAGCTGGAACTTGGATTGCAACTAATCTCTCCATAAAGCAGACCAAGAGCCACTAACACATATAGATTACATTTTTTACAGATCATAAGGCTCAAGTTTCTCAAAGGATTATCAGCCTTGACAGCTTTTTTTGGAGGCTGTCCAGAATATTTGGAGAATGGATATCAGTTTGCAACCAAATGAAACTCTTGTTTTGTTAATACTCTATTTCCTTAGAGATAGTTTTCCAAAAGCTGTGAAACTACTTGAAAGTAAAGGCCTTGCAATCTATAAGAAGCAGAAAGAAAAATTAAAAAAGATGAATGAGAAATGTAATGTCGTAGTATAGTGGTGAGTATTTCCGCCTGTCATGTAGATGACCCACGGCAACAACGATCCTCTCATTTTCTATCCCAATGTTTGGAGTGCCTTGATCTTAAATCCATGTCACTGTGATCCATCTCTTTGGGAAGGAGCAGAATGATATTTTTCTTGCAAACAAGCTCAATCAAGATATATGGCAAGTGTGGTGGTGCTGCAGAGGCTTTTGATGGGATGAGCAATAGGGACTTGTTTTCTTGGGAGATCATGCTTGCAGCTTACTCTTGCTCAGTTCCATGCCACCACCGAGATATTTGGTAAAATGCCTCACAAAACTCTGGTGGCGTGGTAGATCATCCTGTTGCAATTGGGTAACGTTTAAGAAGATTTTGAGAGGATGCTGCAGTAGACTCTATAATCTCTTGGAACTCATGTTTACTACATATGCCCCGTCAGGCTATTAGCTATTACTGATGGAATCGCCGGCGTCGTAAGGATCAGTGATCTCCAAGGCGATGACTCTCCCAGTCTCGTTGTTACACTTCAGAGTTGGCCATGAACAGCATTGTTCACCCCAGGCCTTAAGCCTCCCAGAGCTGAGAGTGATAGTGGCTTTCAAGTCGAGCAAGGCCTTGAGGTCGTCCTTGTGGCACGAAGCATTCAAAGCCTTGTTGGATCGATCTGTTGCTGAAGCCATTGACGAAGCACAAATCAGCACTAACAAGAAGAGAGTTGAAAGAGAAGAGCGATTTTCCATCGTAGCTTATGCCTTATGCCTCAAATTCTGATGACTTATACGCCAAAAGTGTCCATAGTGATAAGTGACAAATGAGTAGCCATTACGCTATAGACAAAAATTATTTACCAGATGAAAAGCTGCCGGCCGTGACCCTGCAAGCAAGAAAAAAAAACAAACTTGTAGAGGATTAGAAAAGACCTTACCAGCAATCGCCACACGAACATATTCCATTTCGCGGCTGTCTTTGACGATCTCTGCTGCTCCAGCTTAGAGGAGAGTTCAAGAGAGCACAGGCCACCGCAAACTTTTCCGGGCACCACTTCATCACCTGCTCAAATTGTTTCTTCCACTCCAGCATGAGCTCAACAGAACCGTGTAAATCACCACGCATGGCTTCATGCAAGTGTAATGCCTGCGATGCCAAAACTCTGAGTTCATTCTCCGGAAGTAACTCTTAACGAGGCCGCATGGCTGCACGCGAAGAACCGAGAGAAAGGTGACCGTTTGCAGCTTGTCCTCTTGCATTTTTCTCGAACAGATGAGACACCCGGTTATCGCCCTGACAACTGTAACCATCGATTGCAGAGCTCCAAGTAACGATCCTTCTCCGCATCGACCATGCTGCGACATGGTCTCTTCAGAAATCTTCCCTGCATTGGGCTTCAGGCAATGTCAATGTCGTTGTATTATAGTGGTGAGCATTTCCGCCTGTCATGTTTCGATCCCTGGTCCTAGCTAGTGCTTTCTTGATCTGGTCCAGTCTTGCAAATCGCTCCCCGGGGCGATTCCACTGCGATCCATCTTTTCGGGAATCGCAAGTGTGGCGGTGCTGCCGAGGCCGGTATTTTATGGGATGCTCGCTCACGGTTTGAGCGTCGAAGAGGCAGCGTCGGCATTCAGCGACATGCCCGAGCGCGATCTCTTCTGAATACACACCTGGTGCGTTCTACGTACCAGATGAAGATTTTCGACTCTCTTTCAGCCTGACTGCTCCAATGAAGGCGACGCCCGCGAGCCCTTTTTCTTCGAAAGCATGCAGAGGTATGTTGTTGGAGAGGGGTATGGCGGAGAGGGCGCCTAGAGGACCTCTATCTCAGGCTAGCAAAGCTGGAGTAGCAAGAAGAAGAAGATCACTCTCTGGATGGAGGGAGAGAGTGATCTGGTACCAATGAATCCGGATCTGTGGAAGGGCAAGCCGGCGCAGCTGCTGCTCAAGATTCTTGCCGGGATGAGAGTGATGAGAGGCTGGAGTCTATATGGATGATGTTGCCATCCAAGTTCCAGCGCCAGCGCTTGCCATCATCATCGCGCATCCTGTCCGGGAGCTTGAGGACGCGGTTCTCGCCGTGGGCTGGAAGCTCGACAGTGCTCACCACTTTGATGATCTTGGAGACGATTTTCTCCATTGTTCGTGACGACCAGTAGTCGAAATGCTGGCTTCGAAAAGAGGACAGTAGTAATGTAGAGACATCTGGTCGCGCATGAAGTTTCAAGCTGGTGGATGGATAACTCCATCCAAGCTTGTCGAAAGAACACATACTTAGAAGTTGAATAAATCCAAAAAACGCTATGGAAGAGTCGAATGTTTCCCGGATGGATGGATATGCGGCAATGGTTCGAAGAAGATCAAACAAATATGGACGCTTTACTCGAGGCTGGCCCTTGCATAGAGCGTCAACGTTGGAGACCATAGATTCACGCGGTATTGCCAGCAATTTTCTCCGGTATAAAAGCCAGGTGAATTCCATCTTGTGAGAGTATCAGTCGCTTCAAGCTCTTTAGTGTTCTTGTCTGAGTTAAGTAGTATCATGTCGACGGCTAGTATCTTCTTCTTCTTGTTAGCTCTTGTTGCGGTGGGAGTTTTTGCCTCCGATCCGGAGCTTGTCTCGGATTACGCTGCTGCTCCCGCCGCCACCAACGCGAGCTTCTTCACTTTCACTGGCTTTCGCAGCGATGTCACGGCTCCAGCGGGAACTTTCCTGGTGAAGAAGGCATCGCTCGCGGAATTCCCTGGTCTGAATGGCCTCGGCGTCTCCATGGCCAAGCTCTCCTACCAGCCAGGCACGACCAATCCCCCGCACATCCATCCCCGGGCCGCGGAGCTCCTCTTCGTCTTACAGGGCTCGCTCAGCGTCGGCCTGGTGGACACCACCAACAAGCTCTTCGTCCAGAAGCTCGAGATGGGCGATATGTTCGTGTTTCCAAAGGGTCTCGTCCACTTCCAATTCAACGATGGACAGCACGAGGCCAAGGCCATCTCGGCCTTCGGGAGCTCCAGTGCCGGCACCGTTTCCCTCCCCGTCACCCTCTTTGGGTCTGGAATTGACGATCAAATCCTCAGCAAGGCTTTCAAGGTGAGCACGGACACTGTCAAGACTCTCAAAAACGCTCTCGCAGTGAAGAAAACTGCGAGGAAGCTTTGATTCTTTCAATGTTTTTAAAATTGATAACGTGGGTCCAACTCTACCGTCGATCCCATTTAATTCCTTGAGCATTTTCCTCTCGGTTTAAATGCTGACCGTCAGATTTTTCCACGCAAGCATGTAGAAGGCGGGATCGCTCTTCTTGGCCATAGCCATTCCAGCGACCCTCCGCCCTCGCTTGGCATCGCTCTGGGTCGCGCAAGCTCCGAGATATGCTTTCCAGAACACCGAATTTTTCTCACAAGCCACGGCTTTGATGAATCGTTCCACGGTTTCCAGAGATCCGGCTCTTCCCAGGAGATCTGCGAGGCATCCATACTGTTCTTGCCTTGGATTGATCCCATGATCTAGGACGAATTCCCCGAAGTACCTGTGTCCTAGCTCCACAAACCCAACATGACAGCACGCCGAAAGAATGCCCAAGAGTGTGAGCTCGTTTGGTTTGATTCCTTCCAGCTGCATCTCCTTGTGCAACTCGAGCGCCTCTTGGCTATACCCGTGTTGGGCATATGCTTGGATCATGCAGTTCCAGGATACCACATCTTTACTCGAGCTCAACGACTTGAAAGCTTGTCTTGCGAGAGGGATGCTTCCACAGGTGGAATACATTTTGATCACTGTGTTGCAAACGTGTGCACTGGAATCAAACCCATTATCAAGAGCACTTGCGTGAATCTGCTTTCCCTGCGCTAGATCCATTCTCGAATTGCAAACTTGGAGAGCAGAAACAAAAGTTGTCTCGCTTGGCTGCAAGCCTTCCATGTAGAGCATTTGGAAGATCGGTTTTGGGAAGAAAGAAACCATGAGATTGTAAGTGTCTAGAGCAATCTCAGGCATGCCTTGGAAGAGTTTCCATGCCTCTTCAAACTTTTGGTTCTCGGCATACGCAGCTAGCAAGGTGTTCCAGGAGATCAAGTCCCGCTCAGGCATTGCTTGGCTGAGAATTTTACGAGACAAGGCATCGACATCTCGGGAAAGTGAGACCAGGAGGAGATTCAACGAGAGCATGCTATGCTCCGGCATTTGATCAAACAGCCCAGTCGCATCGGTGTAAAGCTCGCTTCGAGCGTAAGCTCCGAGCATAGAATTCCAGGACACTAGATTCCTGTGCGGCATTTCGTCAAACACGCACTTGGCCTCTTCCACACGCCCATGCTGGGACAACATCGATACCATTCCATTGCAGCTAGCGAGATTATGCCGCAGCATCTTCTCTCGAAAAAGTTTCTGGGCTTCTCCAAGCTGGCCACAACGAGCAAAGGCAGCCAACATCGAGTTCCATGAAACTATGTCTCTTTGCGGCATCGTATCAAACAAAACCTTGGCTTCGTCCAAATGCCCAGCCTGAGCATAAGCCGATATCATCGCGTTCCACGATATCAAGTCGCAGTGGTGGAGGCTTTCGAGGATACTCCGAGCTTCTGAGAGATGCCCGGAATGAGCATACGCCCCCAGCATTGTGTTGGAGCTCGGGATGTCTCGCCAAGGCATGGATTCAAAGAGAGACTTGGCCATTTGGAGATCATCCGCTTGGATGTAAGCACCGAGCATCGCGTTCCAGCAGATGCTATCCCGCTCGGGAAGCTCGATAAAGATGGAGCGCGCCTCGTCCAGAGAGCCCTCTTGCGAGAGCGCGGAGATGATCGCGGTGCAAGAGCACGCACTCCACTCGGGCATTGCGTAGAACACTCGCCTTGCATCGCCCACGCGGCCATTTCTCGCGAGCACCACTACCAGCGCTGTCCATGAGAAGAGATCGCGCTCGGGCATGGCGCTGAATGACGACGCTGCCTCTTCGACGCTCAAACCGTGAGCGAGCATTGTGTTCCATGATCTTATCTCTCGTTCTGGCATTTCCAGAAAGACCATCTTGGCAGCGTTGGCTTCCCCGGCCCGGGTAAGCACGGCGAGGAGAGTGTTCCAGGAGATGAGATTGTGCAGTGGCATCAAATGGAACATCTCGTGTGCTCCCTCAACGTCGTCCATCTGCAAGTACACAGCCAGCATTGCATTGCAGGAAACAAGATTCTTCTCGGGTATCTTACCGAAGGTAATTTGCGCTTCCTCCAGATACCCTGCCCGGGCATATGCAGTAAACATGGAGTTCCAAGAGACTAGATTCCACTGCGGCATCCTTTCAAAAGATGCTTCCACTCGAGAAACGTTTCCCGAGGTCGCAGACAGCATGATGTTCCACGCCACCAGAGTTTTGTGAGGCATTGTCTCAAAGATCTCGGTGGCGGCATCGAGCTGACGGTTCCGAGAATAAGCCGCAAGCATGATCTCCCAGGAAAACGAGTCCCTGTTGCTCATCCCGTCAAAAATCGCGCGTGCCTCCGCAGCACTGCCACATTTCCCATACATCTCGATGAGCTTGTTCCCGAGAAACAAATCTAGCTCCTTCCCAAAGATATGGATCGCAGTGGCATGGATTTGGCGCGCGCAGGGGAGCGTTTTGCAAGACTGGACCAGATCAAGGCACTTGCTCCGAGTGAGCATAACCCAAACATCACGAAATGAGACGTTCTTTTTTCCGCCGTTGCCGGGGATCGAACCCGGGTCGTCCGCGTGACAGGCGGAAATACTCGCCACTATACTACAACGACATCGACATTGCCTAAGCGTTTTTTTCTCCTTAAAGTAGTTTCAAGTAGCTTAGCTTCTGGTTTCACGGCTTTTGGAAAACCATCGGTGATACTTTGTGAGGAAATATTCACCAGACTCCAGACCCCGATCGATCCCGGAACTCGCGGAAGAATCGTTCAAGCTAGATCCGCGAGGCAACCATTTGAAACTGCTGCTGGCTGGTCTCGAGACCCTGACGCTGCCGAAGGAGATGTAGAGCACGGAATTTGGAGCATGCTTGTCGAGCCAGTCGAGTGATATGGATCTCAAGCTCGCCTCCAGGCGTGGAACTACGGACACGGACACAACCTTACTGTCGGAAACAACTTTCTCGAAGACTTGCAGCTCCAGCTCGTAGATCGAGTTTGCAAGGATCCACGAGAGCGAGAGACACTTCTCTACTCCCCTGTTTTTGTAGAAATCTCTGTGGTGGTTGGCTCTAAATGGTTTTACAAGCTTGCTAACTAGAACTTTCTAGCTAATAAAGAAATCTGTTTTTATTTTCCTTTCCTTAGATTTCTTTTCCGAAAATTCTGGTATAGAAAGAAAATATACATTTTGGATCAATTGTTCACACAAACATAAGGTCATTGAATTACAATTTAAAATCATATTATTTTGTTAGTCAAAATCGCTTTCAGTCATTTTTATTTTTTTATTTTCACTTTCTGGTAAGGGAAAAAAACTCCAAAACTGATTATAATAAATAAATATAATAAAATAATATATTAAAATTGAAATTCAATGACCTTATGTTTATATGAACAATTGATACTATAAGATCTCTAAAATATATTTTCTTTTTACTTGTATTTTATTTTATTCGGCTTTCTAAACATTTATCAAATATTGTTACATTAAGAAATTCTACAAAAGGATTTAGTGATAGGTATATATTTATTAATTATTTAACTTGTAAACGTCCGAGTTTAACTTATAGTGATACTTATTTTAAAGTTTGAATGTGGGAAATTTTTCATCCACAAAGTATTTATAATTATGTTTTGTTAATCCTCATATATTATATGCTGAAAGTCAAATATCATTAAAATAACTTTAAATTTGATAAACAAAAATTCATATATTAAGATTGGTGGTAGTGATCTTAGTTATGGCGTGCTAAATTCTGCACATGTAATGAATATTAGAATTCTAGGAGTGGGATTTATAAATTACACTATATAATGTTTAGTAATGAATATTCCATGTTTTCATTATGCAGTTATTTACAATTATTTCTAATGCTATTGGGATGCATTATGACAATTTTTTGGATGTCTTGTTGAAGCTAGAAATGCTATTGATCATTTAATAAATTATTGGTCATAACAAATGATATTAACAATAAAAATGATAATTTTGTTTTTTGCAAGTGATGATATAATTAAGAAGCATGGATTTATAAATTATAAGTTGCAGGATACTTGAAAATGAATAATAATACAGCATATTTGTGCATAAACTAACTGTTTGCAACAATCCAAATGAATGTTTATCATTTGCAAATCAAGGGTTAAATGTGACAGTGGAATGGACCTGGACTGGCCAGGGTTTGACTAATTTGAAATCCAAGGACAATTCCTTGCGACTGACACTAACATTTTTAGCAAGGTTTAAGATTGTAGTGTATTGAGGATTCTTTCAGTAGGAACAATAAACTCCTTCCAGAAGCAAGCATTACCACTGGATAAAGGACAGAGAATGAAGATAGCTCTTGTCTGACCTTGGCTTGGTCAGTCTCTCGTTTTCGATGACAAAGCCAGAATCACGTAGTGCAGACTTACTTGTAATAAAAGATTGTCCGTAGTACATTGCAAAATCACTGAAATAATTAGCCACCGAGAGTCCATTCGCTCCAGGGAGATTGTTTCTCAGCGTGATTTCCATAAGAGACATCACTTCCTCCATTAAATCCAAGAAACCAAGGAGAGGAAAATGCGCAATGAATTAAAGGAATTTCATAAACTTTGAAAGAATCGAAGAACTTCTTAGCATTTCTTCATTGTGAGGGCATTCTTAAGCATCTTGACTGTGTCCGTGCTCACCTTGAAGGCCTTGCTGAGAATTTTATCGTCGATTCCAGACCCAAAGAGGGTGGCGGGGAGGGAAACGGTGCCGGGATTGGAGCTCCCGAAGGCCGAGATGGCCTTGGCCTCGTGCTGTCCATCGTTGAATTGGAAGTGGACGAGACCCTTTGGAAACACGAACATATCGCCCATCTCGAGCTTCTGGACGAAGAGCTTGTTGGTGGTGGTGTCCACCAGGCCGACGCTGAGCGAGCCCTGTAAGACGAAGAGGAGCTCCGCGGCCCGGGGATGGATGTGCGGGGGATTGGTCGTGCCTGGCTGGTAGGAGAGCTTGGCTATGGAGACGCCGAGGCCATTCAGACCAGGGAATTCCGCGAGCGATGCCTTCTTCACCAGGAAAGTTCCCGCTGGAGCCGTGACATCGTCGCGAAAGCCAGTGAAAGTGAAGAAGCTCGCGTTGGTGGCGGCGGGATTAGCAGCGAAATCCGAGACAAGCTCCGGATCCGATGCAAAGACTCCCACCGCAACAAGAGCTAACAAGAAGAAGTAGATCACTTGCAAACTAGTCGTCGACATGATACTGTGTTTGCAAACTTAGCTCGAGACAAGGAGGCTAAGAGCTTGCAGACTTTGATCCTGACTGATACACAAGCTGGAATTACCCCGGGTTTTATACCGGAGCAAAGCTCCAAAAGCTCTTGTGTTATTGCTGCCAACACCGCGTTAATCCTCCGGTAAAATGGGCTCACCTTGACAAAGACCACCAAGAATGCCTCGAGCAAAGCGTCAATGTTTGTTTGATCCTGTTGGAATCATTGTCGTATATCCATCCATCCAGAAAACATTCTCTTTCAGATTTATTGGAGCGAAGTTTTGACAAAAGATGTTTTGTTTTGACAAGCTAGAATTTTCAGTGAAGATCATCTTCGAGGGATGATTGATAAGCAAAACATGCAGAGGTGGTAGGCCAAAAAACGTTTTTTGGACTCGAAGATCTCTAAACCACCGTTCAATCCATCAACTTCATGCGCTGAATGATCCCTACTGTCTCTTCTTTTCGACGCCAGCGTTTCGTACTGCATCTCTGTTGATCCTCCTCTTCTTGAATTTCGACGAGTTTTGGTACTGGTAGTCACGAACAATGAAGAGAACCGTCTCCAGGATCATCCCAGCAAAAAGGCCGATCAGCCCCCCTGCGACATGCTACACGGGAATCGTACCAGCGAAACCAAAGTGGAAAAAATGAGAAGATCACGTACCAGGACCACGGATTCCTCAAACTGGGATCTAAACAACGCAAAGCCCAAGAGAAAGCCAGTGAACATTGTGACAATCACATGAAGACCTGCGATCTAGACTTGTTTCGCGTCCTTCTTCCTTGTCAAAGAATGAGAGAAATACATACCGAAACCAATTTGATCTTTGTAGGTGGAGAGTGGAACCATCTCTTCGTTCTCCTTTACCACGTCTTTCACTAGATCTTTGTAAGCCTTTTGATCTGCTAGCTCTTGTAGCTTTTGAAGACGTTCTTGTAGCTCCTTGGGCTGTGAGAAAGATTTCCACCCATCAAAGAAATCGCAAAGCATGCGGAAATGAGAGAGGAAACGAACCTTTTCTCTCGGCTTAGGGGAATGGAAGGCGAATGTAGCCCCTTCCAGCAATCGACGGAAGCTCGGCCGCGCCTCGGGAGCAAAATTACTCCACACATCGCGAATGACCTGATACGGCACCACTGACGCATCCTTGTACCTCAGAGCGAGCTCGGAGACGCGATCGGGCAGCAGAGACGCCGAGCTACTGGCGGCATCGAGAAATTCCTGGATACCGGCCGTAGAGTGGAAGCGCAATCCCGCCACGCGATTGTCCTCCATAGCTACGAAGAACCCTAAAACCAAGCCACTTGTCAGAATAATGACCGTTGATCTAACGGCGCGCACATTCTAGGGCTTCCTGAGCGCTTGGCGCAGAATGCACGCCTCGATTCCTTCGATTCCTTCTATTCCCTGCCGGTTCGGCAGGGCTGCGGCAACTGGAGCTCACACCGCGCCGCGCGCTGCGATTCCTGGCAATTCGAGCTATAGATTCTTGCATGGCGTCGACCACAAATTTGGTATTTCGATGCGTCGCAGGGTCAATGTCGCTAGAAGGCGTCCAGGGGCCACAAGAAAAGCTGGGAACATCGTTGTCTCGCAGCTCAATGATTTTCTAAGAGGTTAGCCGCTAGCCTTTCATTTTTAAACTTTCTTCTTTGTTTCTACTGTTTCTTTTTGTTCTTCTATCTACAGTGGTACGTATTGTCGCCAGGACAGCGAACGATAGTCTGGAGGCCGGAAGCAAATTGGTGCCTGTGAGTGGATTTTTTTTCTGCCATGGATCGTTGAAGTGATCTTAGTTAGTGGCAAGCAAAGTCTAGTTTCGAATTGTTTGCGTGAGTTTGAAAGTTCTCTGGAGTGTTTTTTTTTTTTTGTCACTGGAGTCGTGTTGCTTGACTGTCAAAGTCTCTCGTTTTGTTCTTCTCAAGCGTTTGATTTGGTGGCTAAGCACCTTTGTTTTTTAATTTCCAGGAATCTGTGCCGAGGCCTGCTGCGAAGGCAATTGTCGCCGTTCTAGGAATCGTGGCCACCTCCTTCCTGTTTAGCTCTCTACTTTCGCTCGCGAGCTTGGCCCTGGTAAGGCCTTTTCCTCTTTTCTACGGAACAAACTCTTGTTTTTGTTTCAGGGAATCGCTGGAATTGCGTATTTTGCGTACGTCTACTTTAGCAGAGACGCAAGTGGTGGCAAAAGGAGCCAGCCCAGCAGCACGGAGTCAAGCTTAGAGGAAGCCAGGAGGATCATGGAAAAGTACAAGTAGGGGAGAAAAAGAAGCTCCAGGTGCGCATACGTTTCTCTCATCAATCTCGAGCATACTTTCGAGAAACTCGAAGCTTCGGGTTGCAAAGTCAATGATTTCTTCATGAGGACGCAACAGGGATTTGTAACTAATGGTGCCTACTTCCCAGTTTCTAGAGGCGTTGATCTCGAGTTTGAGATTGGAGGAGAGAAGGGGAAAAAGAGGGAAGTGGCCTATCAAGCACACACAACCTCTATAGTGCTCGCACGGGGATTTCGTACAAGGTTTCTAGAAGCGAATGCTACGTTTATTAAGATCAACAGAGAAATTGGAAGCTTCCTTTCGTGCAAATTAGGTTCGCGCATTCGCTGGTCAGTGGTGTAGCGAATCAAATATCAACGTCAATTCGATAAAAGTTTGATCCCGTCACTCACTCATATTATTCACTCACACTGCTGTTCTGGAAGCACTGGCCTTATACGCGAGTGTAAGTGGCCACTAAACTGATGGCACCTCCTCCTCTCCCCAGATTTTAGAAGCTTCGATGGCGGCAGTTATTGTCGTTGTCGAGGTGGCAAGCGGATAAGACACGCAGTTTTGTCCGCCACATGGGCGCACGGACACGCGTCGCCAGGTCATTCGCGCTTAAGCCGCCAAATCAGCCGCAAAGACGAGAATATTCTCATTCAGATTCTCCTCGAATATTCGGGTCCCGTTTGCTTATAAGGGCCATTCCTCCACATAACACCGATACACACGAACTTCACCGACGCGAAAGATCAAGAGCAAAGAAATTCCTTTCTCTTTTCTTCCTCTTCCTCTGTTCTTGCGCTACTCGATCGATCTCCTCGATTCTTCCCTCTTCTCTTTATGTTGATCGTCGCGGCCCCGAGCTCTCCGATCGCAGGAGTAAATTCGCCCAGCTTCTCGAGCAAACTCGCCAAATCCTCTCCAGTCCGCAGCCCCCCAGTCCGCCCCCGCTCGATCCAAGTGTCCGCGGCGGCGTCGCAGTGCATGGATTCGCCAGTGGCGACGCGATTCTCCGCCCAGCAGAGCCTGTACGACGTTCTCGGCGTCGCCCAGCAATCGGACGTGAAGGACATTCGCAGCGCCTACCGGCATCTGGCCAGGATCACACACCCGGACGTGGCGGCGACCGAGAACAAGGAGGAATCCACCAAGGAGTTTCTGAAAATCCACGCAGCCTACACCACTCTCTGCGACCCGGAGCGCCGCGCCAGGTATGATCTCCAGCTCTCGCTGCAATCCCTGCCGCGATTCGGCAGCCCACGGGGATTCTCGGGAATTGGGTACGACAGCTACTCGTTCATGGCGCCATCGCCCATGAGGGCCTCGCCATCGCCATCGCCATCGCCATCCACGCAGTGGAAGACGAGTAGGAGCTGGGAGACCGACCAGTGCTGGTGAGCGAGAGAAGGAAGAACACAAGAACAAAAATTTGGGGCTTTTTCGCCTCGCAGATCAGATCAAGGGGGTCTCAGCGAGCACTCAGGAATCGATCAATCGAGATGTCATTCGATTGCAGGCGATGTCAAGCGATTTCCCTGGCAAGATCTCTGCGACCCCGAGAAATTTCTTCTCGCATACTTTTGTAAATAGAGAAACGTCTGTATCAAAAGGACGAGTTGCTTTGCAACTCGCAGAGTTTCGTGGCTCTCCAAAGAGCGCTTTTTTCGCAATTCGAAGCTTCCCCTTGTCCTCCACTAGCAAGAATTTCGTTTGGAGAAAATCGTCACAGGAGTAGAGTTTTTCTTGTTGTTCGCAACTTACACAAGACAAGAGTAAAGACTTTTCCCGTGACAATCTTTCGCAACTTACTTACACAGGAGTCAAGAGTTTCACTTGTAAGTCTTTCGCAAACTTACACAAGAGTAAAGATTTTGTCTTGAGAGATCTCTTGCAACTTACACGCGAGTAAAGTCTTGAGAGGCTCTTGAACGCGTAAAGATTTCTGATCTCTCGCCACTTACAGGACGAGAAATTTCCCCGTGTCAAGGTCGCAACTTGGATCTGGCAAGTCGGTGGTCCCAAGGGGGTGAATTCTTATCCTTTGCAGGATTTGCATCACATGCAACCTTTGCATCCCAGTTTCATCGATCCAGCTCAACTCTTATCCCTTTGGCCGCGTGAATCGTCCAAATCCATCCGTCTATAGACCAAGTAGTAATGTCAGTGTCACGAGATAAAATAATCCAAAACCACCCCCAAACCTTGCTGATTCGATCCTCGTCTTCCAAGAGCTTATATTTGATATGATATTTCGATCGGGGTCTCCTCCGGTGCATGGAACTCCATTTTCGAGCGCAACATGACCATGACTTCGAAACATGTTGGCCGCTGATTCCTCGGAAGTCTCTCTCCGCTTGACTTCTAGAAAAAACTAGAAAACGATTTCTTTTCTTGACTCTGCCACGGCCCCCTGTTTCGGAGTGTCCAAGTTCATGCCAAATTCTTTGCTGCTGCCTTTTCCTTGTCGATTTGTCGGCCTACTGGCTTCCCTGGAACATGGAACAGGAAATCACAGAGTTAACCTTCGTCTCACGCAAGCGCTAGCAATTATCAGAAAAAAAAAAACAATATGAGAGAGAGCGCAGAGATCGGCCAAGTGTTGAATTGTGATGAACACCTCAACACGCAAGAAGAGAAAAAAACCAAATAATGTACCGCAAAAATTGAAAAAAGTTGGTGAAAGTTGGCCCATGCAACTCATACGGCCTTTCTAATCACAGGCACGACGAAAAGGTCACGAGAACGTCACCTTCTTTCTAGAAGCGCGAGCCTCAGCCGTCCGATCTCGGGGCAGCATCCAACGGCCGCCCGTCACGGGCGCGCGAAACTAAACCGCCTCGCAAGATTCAAATCTTTGAATTCTTGCTTACCTCGCGCGCTATGGAAGCACTTCGCCTGGCAGCAATTCACGGAGGGATCAGCGCAACCGAGCTGAGAAGTAGAGTGAAAAACTTACGAGCAGCGCCGGTGCCGCGTTTTTCAGTGGAGTGCTGGCGGCGGCGGGTGAGGAGATTGCGGGCCAAGAAGGACGAGTGCGAGGAAGCGGCGGGAAGCATGAGGCGGGCACTCGATCACAACCCCGCCAAAGCTGCGGAGAAGCTGGTCTCTGCGTTGGATCCCGGCAGCAGAAAGGCCGTGATGACAGCGCTCTCTGGTAATGTCCTCGCGTCAATAAACAGCGAAGAAAAAACACACTTTCTACTCTCGGGAATGAGAGCACACTTACGCGCGCGTTTGGTTCTTGTTGGTTAGGCTACAGCTTCAGAGGAAAGCGATGACAATGACTCGAGATCTATCACTGGAAAGGAAACGTTAATACTCACTTTCAAAGCTGCAATTGGTAAGTTAATACCCCGAGTGTTACGATCACCCGAATGAATTTCCGGGAAAACTTCCCTTGCAGGAATGGTTGGCTTCGGCTTTATAGGTGAGTGGTCGTTCTATACAGCCCCCATAATTCATCGAGCTCACGCCCTGAGCAGATAACTCAATCATGATCATCGCTGGAGACGCTATCCAAAACACAATTGGTGATACCTTTGGCTTGTCCACCATGGCAGTAAGAAATTCTTCCGCGACGCCTGAACTGCAAAGAAAATTCCTGATTAAAGAATCCACAGAAATATCGACGACATGCTAACCTGTTGTAAGCTCCTTTTGGTAGTCTGCAGGCCTTGGAAACGCTGTGTCCGATCTGCTCGGATCGCTTCTATGTGGATATATAGAGCGAGCTTCAGAGAAGTTTATGCCCGAGCTTGATCTTTCGCCCTCGCAGCTGAAGTCCAACAATGCGCAATGGGCGGAGACCATTGGAGCGGCTTCAGGTGTTACCTTTGGTTGCATTCTGGGGCTGTCGCCTCTCCTGTTTATATCAGACTCGGGCTCAGGTGGAAGCCACACTGTAGCTTCCACGAGCTACTGCAACAACGCTCCTGCAACCAAGCACGGCAAAAATCAGTCCCATCAATCGACGACAACCTTTGCATCTATGTCAGACGGATTTCGAGCACCGGGGCTGTGTGGCTTACAGCGTACAAAGTGCAGCTTTGCTCTAGTCGTATCTATTAGCCTGTTGATGATAGCGAAACGTATGGACGAGTTCCTGTCAAAGCGGAGGAGTCAAAACTCGCAATAAAGTATCAGCCAGAGACATACCTGTTCCATACGGCCTCGAAGGAAAAGAAGTCTCACCAGAAGTCCTTGCAGGAGCAGGAGCCGTTCTTAAAGTGATGAAACCGATTTGAGTCCCTCACAATAATTTCTCGTCGTGTAATCTTCGACGTCAGCTTCGTCATGGTATGACAGTCGCCACATACACGAAGGTTCTTCATGATACGAAGTGGAGTCCCCGGAGACGTGCTGATGATACCAAATGCGATAGCCAGCCTTTCACTGTGAGCGAAGAGCAGCGGTTCCTTCTGCCCAGCCTCCACATCATGAGCAACGTGAGCCATATCAGGATCATATCCCGCGCTCTTCATTTCCTTGTCAAGTCTCTTGAGCTCATCAAATATCTCCTTGCTTCTTGGATTGGATTGATCCCCCGCAGTAAACTCATAGACGCTAGTTCCAAGCTTGATGATACTCCGCCCTGCGTTTTTTCTGATACCCCGGTCTAGCATCAACTTTCTGATCCTGGAGGCCTCCTGAAAATCTCCAGCGTCGGCATGGATGCGTGCTAAAGCCACGTAGCCTGTCGACGCCTCCGGATCAATCCGAATAGCTCCTTTTGCAGCAAGCTTTCCTCGTTTCATATCACCGTGACTTCTGCAGTTGGCAAGGAACGATGTCCACGTCAAAACGTCCGGCTCGAAAGGCATGCACTGAATAAGAGTTTCGGCATCGCTCAGCCGACCAGCTTTGCCAAGAGATTCGACCATGCACCCGTAGTGGCCACCCCCTGGACGAACCCCGTGATCTTGCTGCATAGAGACGAAATAAGCGTGTGCTTCTTCCGGAAGGCCCGCATTGGCACAAGCTGATAGCACGCTCATAAATGTGATGTAGCTTGGCTCTTCCCCGTCAAGCCGCATTAAAAGGAAGAGCTCAAACGCCTGCTGCTCGTGACTGTGTTGCGCATAGGCTCCTATCATGGCGTTCCAGGTCACAGAGCCTTTGGCAGTCTTGTCGAAGATGCTTCTGGCCACGTCCAGGATCCCACACTTCCCGTACATGTTGACGAGCGAGTTTGCAAGCTCTGTAACTTGAAAGGCTCTGTCTCCCAGCCTCCTGTGAACCCGTTTCCCCACTTCCATATCACCCAAGGTGGCACAAGCGTCTATAACGCTCACGTAGGTATAGTCGTCCGGCACCACGCCTTCTTCTTGCATGAGTTCGTAGAAACGAAGAGCCTCGCTGGTGTGCCCGTGCTGGCCGTAAGCTGCGATCATAGTGTTCCACGCGATCACATCCGGTTGTGACATGCTTTTAAACATGGCTTCCGCGTCTTGCAAACTCCCACACTTCCCATACATGTTGAGTATGACGTTCTCCAGTGGAGCATGGTTCGAAGCTAGAGGATGCTCGCGAACACAAGCGTGAATAGCTCTACCATCTTCCAGTGCCACAGGAACGCAGCAAGCTCCCAGGATGTTGATGAAAGTAACTTCGTCCATTTCCAGACCAAGTAGCAGCATCCTCCGAAAGAGTTCCATTGCCTCCTTGAAGCAGCAGTGCTGGACGTAGGCCGAAATGAGAACGTTCCAGGTGATAATGTTGGGTTCCTGGAGCTTGACGAAGGCCGCGTTTGCATCATGCAAGCCGCTACACTTGGCGTACATGTTGACGAGCGTAGTGCCTACAACCACGTCCTGATCAAATCCAGTTCGTAAGATACAATCGTGAATGTACCTCGCAGATTTGAGCTGAGAAGGCTGGTCGTAGGCACTCATGAGCGTGATGTAAGTCACGCTGCAAGCTCTGATCCCCTCCAAGAACATCTTTTGCAGCGTCCTCAATGCTTCCAGCCCGCGTCTGTGCTCGGCAAAAGCCGCGATCATCGCGTTCCAGGAGACAGCGTTGGGCTCGGTCATGCTCTCGAACGTCCTCATGGACTCTTCAAGGCTTCCACACTTGCTGTACATGGAGACCAAGGAGGTCGTTGCCACCACCGCGTCCTGGAAGCCATAGCGGCGGAGTAGAGCGTGGAGAGCTCTCCCAGCGGGGAGAAACTCGGGCCCGGCGGAGCAAGCGTTGATGGCAGCAGTGAAGGAGACGCTGTGTGGCTGGATTCCCTGCTTGAGCATCTCGTAGAAGAGAGCCAGGGCCTCTTGAGATCGCCCATGTTGAGCACACACTGTGATAAGGATCGTCCAGCTAAAGACGTTCTTGGCCGGGGTTGCCTCAAAGACGAGCCTGGCCTCCTCCAAGCTCCCACATTTTCCATACATCATCACCAGATGATTGGAAACATAGACATCGGACCCCAGCCCGACTCTCCGCATCAGCTGATGGATCCGGCGCCCCTCCGCTAGAGCCCCGAGCCTGGCGCAGGACTGGATTACCCTGACGCACTCCTTGAGATCCGCGTCCTTGCGCTTCTGGAGCGCGTCGATTGCCGCTGCGATCTGGCCAAGCTGTTGCCGCTTTGAGAGCAGCGTGGAGAGGCGGCGAGGATGCATCCCATTCTTCTCGCCCTAAAGTATTTACTGCAAAGAGCCCCGCCATATTTTATCTTTGAATAAATTAACGGGGATAATTAATTTAATATATATAGAGAGAGAGAAAGAAATTAATAAAAACAATAGGATATCTTTCTAATAATTAATAAATTTTATTCTTGCATTTTATATTATAAATTATATCGATCACCAAATATACCTTTATTATCCACTATGTTATTAAATAGATCTCTATTATTTGGATATTCTAGTTTTATGCTCATTTATTTGGAATATGAATGCACCATGCAAATGATAAATAATTTGGAATCCAAAGGAAAGTTTAATTAAGATATATAACGTCGATGACCTAAGCTGTGGGGAATCGAACTCCAGATAGACTTGCCGCCTTGAATTCAAACGGGAAGAACATCTAGACCGTTGGATTTAGGCGACAAACGATCTCCGCCGCTGGACTGTGGTTAATGCAACTGACGCTTGCGATAGATCAGGTTAAAATCTCTCTCTCTCTCTCTGGTTCTTTCATTTCGAATAGCGTCTCGGCTCTCCGCCTAGCTAGGGTAGCTGGTTCTCCAGATCTCGAGGAGCCGCCTCTGGATCTATCTATCGTCTTCGATCTTGGGGATTTTTGGGGAGAATGGAGGTCCTGCCATTGCGAGAGATTTCCAAGCAAGACGAGGCTGGCTACAAGCGCTGGTTTGAGTATGTAGATGCCGGTAAGATCTTGCTGTGACTCCTTTATGGCTTCGATATTACGGGATCGATCTCACAGATGGCGATGGAAGAATTACCGGAGCAGACGCTGTGAAGTTCTTCGCCATGTCCAAGTTGCCCAAATCAGACCTCAAGCAGGTTTGCTGAGCGTGATCTAGTCTTTCACCTTCGTTATTTTTTTCTGCTTCAGGTTTGGGCTATGGCAGACTCAAACAGGCAGGGCTACCTTGGATTGAAAGAATTTATCACCGCAATGCAGGTAAATTATCTCAAGAATTCTCTATGGAACTTCTAGACTTTGTGTGAGCTTTTAGATAATTTCCGTCGCACAATCTGGCGTGGAGCTCACTGGAGATGTTTTGAAAAGAACAGGTAAACAAGCTGCTTTCATGCAAATGTCTTACAACTGTTTTGCAGACTGGGAAAACATTGGCATGCCAAGCATGGAGCTTGTGGAAGATCATATAAGAGTACGTTTGCCAGTGGCTCAGAATTCACAAGATCAACTATGTGTTCTGCGTTCTCTTTTTCAGGAAGGACGAAAGTTAACTCCCGAAGTTGAGGTTCAAGGTAAATTGTTGAGAACTTGGTCCTCTAATTTTTTTCTCATATTTTTGTCTTTCCAGAAGTTGAACCAAAGCCTTCATTTACAAACTGGCTCTTTCAGAAAACGCCGCAGAAGGTTAAACATTGTTTTCTATACACCGGGCTCAGATTTTTATTTTTGCAGGTCTCGCAAGATACAGCGACGTCGATAATCGATGGACTGAAAAAGCTGTACTTCGAAAAACTGAAGCCTCTCGAAATGGCATATCAATTCAATGACTTCGTTCTCCCTGCACTGGTAAGTTGTTGCCGGTGGCACTGCATGACTGACGCTGTGATTTATGCAGACCGAGAGCGACTTCGATGCGAAGCCTATGGTGATGCTGTTGGGCCAGTACTCCACGGGAAAGACCACGTTCTTAAAGCATCTTCTGAAAGTCGATTATCCAGGTTTGCTGATGCACCGTTTGTAAAGCTCGACTGACATTTTTCCAGGCTGCCACGTTGGTCCGGAACCAACAACTGATCGTTTCATCGTGGTCATGGTAATAGCTCAGCTCCTCTATTTACAAGCGTTATGTTTATGGACATGACTCGCAGGGAGGGCCCGACGAGCGAACCATTCCTGGAAATACTGCTGTTGTCCAGTCAGAAATGCCATTTACTGGACTTTCGAAGTTTGGAGCTGCGTTTCTGACGAAGTTTGAATGCTCTCTGTTGTCGCACCCGGTAAGTAAATTTTGATTTACGAGTCTGTCTTTACTGATATAAGCTCATTGTATAGCTCCTGGAACACATCACATTTGTAGACACTCCTGGTGTCTTGTCTGGAGAGAAGCAGAGGACTCAGCGGAGCTATGACTTCACCGGTGTAACCGAATGGTTCGCTGCGAAGTGTGATCTCATACTCCTCTTGTTTGATCCCCATAAGCTCGACATAAGTGACGAATTCAAGCGTGTTATTGGTTCGCTTCACGGCCATGACGATAAGATAAAAGTGGTCCTTAACAAAGCTGATCAGGTCGACACGCAGCAGGTAACTCGAAGGTTCTGTGTTGTTTTATCGTCTCACTAACTTTTTGACAGCTTATGAGAGTGTATGGCGCGCTCATGTGGTCTCTGGGAAAGGTCCTGAACACACCAGAAGTAATGCGCGTCTACATTGGGTATGCAACTGTTTATAATCTCAATGACAGTCATGATGTTTTTGCATTTTGCAGTTCATTCAACGATAAGCCTCTGAATGACAAGCTTGGTCCGATTGGAAAGGAGCTGTTCGAGAAGGAACAGAGTGACATTCTGATCGATCTGATGGACATTCCTCGCAAGGCCTGCGATCGGAAGGTGACATGTCTGTTTGCCGGTTTGAGCCAGTACTCACTAGCCGGGAATGTTTTCTTTCAGGTGAACGAGTTTGTAAAGCGGGCTCGCGCCGCTAAGATCCATGCACACATCATTGCTCATTTGAAGAAGGAAATGCCAGCAATGGTGGGAAAGAACAAAGCTCAGCAACGTCTAATGGTTAACCTTGAAGACGAGTTTGCGAAGGTAAGCGTCGTTTTCTTTTCTACCTAGCTCTAAGAGTCGAGTTTGCTTGCGCAGGTTCAACGTGAGCTGCACTTGCCAGCCGGGGACATGCCAAATCCTGACAAGTTCCGAGAGATACTTGCCCGGTACAACATCGACAAGTTCGAAAAGTACAAGCCCAAGCTCATACAAGCCGTGGAGACAATGCTGGCTCAAGACATACCAGACCTCCTCAACAAGTTCCACAACCCATACGATTTCTCCAGGTGAACGATGAGTCTTTTCATTTCACTCCTCTCTCGAGTCAACTTGTTTGTTGGCTGCATGTACTTTACCGAGGCGTAATAAAGAACTTTGAGTTCCATGCCGGCGTCCATGTCAGCAATGGGACACGACGTTTCAATGCTGGATTTTGGATTGTCGTGATCCAAAAGTTTAGGGCTCGTGGCGGGAGCGGGGCTGTAATCGACGGAGTCGCGCGCTGGTCAGTAGAGTTTGCAACGTTTTTTTCTTCGAAGCTGAGACAACCGTGATAATGCCAACGGCTTTTGGCTCATGGAGTTCCAATTACAGGGAAGTTCGTCTGGCCAGCTAGAAACAAGGTTTTGGGGGACGCCAGGACAGGATTTAGTAGCTCAGAGTCAGCTCGGAAATGTGGAGGCCAGCAGTGTGGACAGTGTTTTTGGTGGGCTTAGCGGGGGTCTATTACACAGGTGCTGTTCCAGATGCTTTGAGTCTCAACGATGCGTATTCGCTCATGGGGTTCAAGTCACAGATATGGAACGATCCATACGCTTCGCTGAGCAACTGGAAAGTGGATCCGGCCGTGGGACACGCATGCTTTTGGAACGGGATCAAGTGCGCAGACTTGACGGCTTATAGAGTTAGCTCGATACAGCTGACGGGGTTGAGCTTAGTCGGACCGGTTGCTTCGAACATAGGGGCGCTTTCGGAGCTCAGGGAATTGAATCTGTCCAACAACGGGTTCACGGGGGCCATTCCTGCTGCTATCGGACAGTGCACGAAGTTGACGGTGCTGGACTTGAGCCACAACGCTATGAGTGCGGTCATTCCCAACGAGCTTGGATCGGTTGTTTCGCTGCAGAAGATTTACCTGGGATACAATCAGTTCGTGGGAACTCTCATGTTTCCGTCGTCTTTGACCGCCATGACGGACCTGTCCGTGGAGCACAACAACTTCAACGGCTACCCGCTCGACATACTCGTCAACTTGAAGAACATCGTGTCCCTCAACTTGGGATCCAACACCTTCTCAGGTGTCATCGACAGCAAAGATCTCACTCACTTCAATTCGACTCTGAAGGAGCTTTTGCTGGGGTCCAATCTCTTCCAGGGGCCGGTTCCTTCGACTCTTTCCTATCTCGTTGGGCTCGAGAAGCTGGATCTCGGGGGAAACAACTTGACAGGGGATGTTCCAGTAGAGATTCAGTTCTGTCCAAACCTGTACTACGTGAACATGAGCTACAATCAGCTGACAGGCGTCATCCCGACGGTCTATAACAAGCTACAGTCATTGTCGGTTTTGGACTTGCGAGGGAATGCGATCACTGGGACTATCAACATGGGAATTATGGGATGCACAAACTTGACAGACTTACGCCTTGGTGAGAACCAGCTGAACGGGACTATTCCAGGGGGATTTGGAAATCTGGCCTACCTTAGCTACCTGGATTTATCTGGCAACAGTTTGACAGGAAAGATACCCGCGGAGTTCGCCTCGCTGTCGCTGAAGACCTTGAATCTGTCGTCAAATCTCCTAACAGGCGCTCTTCTCGAATTTAGCAGTAGTCTTGTGGAGCTCGACCTGGCAGAGAACAATTTCGTAGGATCTATACCGCAGGTGTATGGCAGCCTACCGAACCTGGAGTTTCTATCGCTGGCATACAATAGTCTGACAGGTGAAATCCCGTCTCAACTGGGAAACTCTGCCAAGCTCAAGACCGTCAACCTCACCGGAAATTCCCTCACGAACAAGATTCCTTGGGCTCTTGCTTCTGCAAATATGGCACTTTTCTCCGTCGCAAGCAACGCGCTCAGCGGTGAGATCCCGGACACTTCTGCAATGAGACGGTTCTCGCCAGATGGCTTCCTTCCTGGCAACATTCTGCTGTGTGGAGCTGTTATCCAGAGAAGCTGTCCGAAGAAAGGCTTCCCAACGTGGGCCAAGGCTGTGCTAGGAACGTTCGTTCCGATCGTCACAGCTCTCCTCGGGGCGTTACTCTTCCTGTGGTTGTTTCCGCACGGCGAGTACTCTGCCAAAACGGTCCGGATGATCACCGACGACTTCAACAACACTAATCTCATAGGTGTAGGAGGCATGTCTACCGTCTACAAAGGTGTGTTTCCGGATGGAAACCAGGTAGCTGTGAAGCGTCTCCGGCCAGAGTTTTACAACGCAAAGACAAACACGAACTTCAATCTGGAACGCAAGCTGCTACTCGACGTCAAGCATCCTAATATTGTCCAAGTTCTTGGATCATGCAACAGCGGGAACCTCAAGGTTCTCATTCTCGAGAACATGCCGAATGGGAACCTAGACATGCATCCAAACCTGCCTTGGAGCCACAGAATGGATATAGCTGGAGGAGTAGCACAGGCTTTGGCATATCTTCATGGCGAGTGGCAAGGCGCTAACCCGATGCATTGCGACCTCAAAGCAAGCAGTGTCTTGCTGGACGAGAAGTTCAACGCACACATAACTGACGTCCGCTTAGCAAACCAGAGCAGTACTATTATCAGCGACGGTACCTTCAGCGGATCTATCGGTTACATGCCACCAGGTGAATTCCTTTTCTATTGTTGCTATTGCTTAGTCCAGTTTCCTAACCAAAGGCTTTTCCTGTTTACAAGGATAAGCAGAGTATGCACTCTCGACCGTTCCCACAAAAGCTGGTGACGTCTACAGCTTTGGGACTCTGGTGATGGAGCTTCTGACTGGAGTAAAGCCAGACGCGTCCATGCCAATGGACTCTAATCTCCAGGCGATGGTCAGGCAAGCATTTCCTGATAAGCTCCACTCTGTGCTGGACCCACAGATTCTCGACTACAACTTTCGTGATCAAATCACGATGTGCACAAAGATTGCCTTGCACTGCACAAACGATCTGCCTATCGACCGTCCAAGTATGCGGGATGTCCTCGACATGTTCAGTCGGGCTTATTCCATCGAGCCAGCGTAAGCAACTGTCTTGTGCTTTTCTTTGTTTTAACTTTACGTTTAACAGGAGATCCTTGAGATGAGTCACCAACACCTGTATGCTCCCCATTCGCTACACGTGGGCGTTCTGGATGGCAAACACGTCGCGAGGTTGATGGTTTGCGTGTTGGTACCCTGTCGGCGGTTTACTTTCCAGGTTTTTGATCTTCCTCTCCCCCCTTTTTCTCTTTTTAGTGCGGCTGTCCTAGGAGCTCACATTGTCCTTTCAGCTTGTTGGGTCGCAGCGATGGAGGCGTCACAGGACTTCACAGCTCGTAACGTTCTTCTCAGGCAGATGTTGTCAGCTGGGATAGCTGGGACTCTGGCGGACGGAATCACATATCCGATGATGACTGTGAAATCGCGCATGATGGTACTTGGGTCTCGCTTTTTGTTGCTTGGATCTTGCTAAAAATGAGCGAATGCGCAGGTCCAAGGGTCCGCTGGCGCAGGAAACTCTGGTGCTGTGCTGTATATGTATAAAGGGCCAATGCATGCGATCCAGACCATCGCAAGCCAAGAGGGTTGGAGAACCTTGTACAAGGGATATGCGACGCTTACTCAGGTTGCCACTGCGCAAGCACTGTATATGGCGACTTATCAGACGACAAAGCGAATTGTTCCAGGTAACTTACTCGCTCAAAACCGAAACTCTCAGCTCAACTTCTGTTCCTAGGTGGGCAGGATAATCCCGTGGTTCAATTCGGCGGTGGATTAGCCGCGACACTCGTTCAATCGCTCATTAACGTCCCTGTGGAGATCATTAGGCAGAGACAAATGGTTCAAAGAGCGGGAGAAGGCTCTTACAAGGTATGTTGCTGTTTTAGAGCTCATTTCATCTAGATCGTGACCAAAGTAAGTGGTGGCTACAGGGATCGCTAGACACGGTGAAGATAGTATACAGGCAAGAAGGTTTCGGTGCTCTCTACCGGGGTTTTCTCCTCGCACAAATGGTTTGGGGGCCTTACAATGCCATATACTTGCCGTTGTGGGAGACGTGCAAACGTTTTGCTGCACGCTACTCGCAAGTAGACAGCGTAGAGAAGCTCGACATCGGATATGAGCTTGGGAGCTCCTTCTTCAGTGCCTCGGTTGCAGCAGCGATTACAAATCCCATGGTAAGCTGACACTGTACTCGCCTTTCGCGTCACTAACTTTGGTTCGCGCAGGACGTGATCAAAACGAGATTGCAAGTCCAGGGAAAGAGCAACGTCTCAAACTCGACGAACTATAACGGGGCTGTGGACGCAGCCAAGGCAATCTGGAAACGCGAGGGATTCAAAGGTTTCACTTGCGGCATCACGTCCAGGATGTTCTGGGTGGCTCCGTCCAGCATGATCATGTTCACGACATACGACCAGATCTTCAAGCGCTTGAATCGATCATAGTAAAGGCTATCAGAAACACTGTCAAGGGTCTTTGGTTCTTTTGAAACAAAACAATTCTTTTTTGTTCTCTCTTACTCTACTCGAGATACTAGGGCTCTAGTAGTGTTGGTATGGTGCGAGTCGATGTGAAGCTCCACAGAGCTTCTCGGATCTATCGACCCTCGGTAAGAGTGAAAATGCGCTCTTGCTTTGCTCGGCTGATCGATCGTCTTTGCAGGAAGTCGTGGACGGGGTAGTGACGATCACAAGCCTCTCGGGCTTGAGCCATCAAGGGATTCGTCTCACCGCTCTTGGCTCCGTCATAATTCAGGCTAGTTTGAGGGACCATTTCTCTTCTTTTGTTTAGATGGTTGGATGGTTTCTTTCAGCCAAGCCCAAAAGCAGTTGGTGTCATTGAATCTCTTTACAGCTCCGTGAAGCCTATGGTGATCCTGTACAAGTTTTTCTCTCGGTTGTTTCTGTCCAGAGTTTCTCAAGAGCTTTGTCCAGGAAAAAAGCGATGGACTTGAGCGGAGCAGGAAAACTTGGCATTGGAAAATCTGAGGTTTGCGTCTTCTTTTCTCTCTCTCTCGTCTAACGTGTCCTAAATCCACAGCTTGCTTTCGATTTTCCTTTGGAGTCGCAAAGCTCCCAGGGAGACGGTGTTCTGGGTGTGTTATACGAGACATATCACGGTGCATACATCAATATCCAGGTACTCTTATTTCCCTTTCGCGTGACTTTTGCTCAACTCTTCTACTGGCAGTATCAAGTGATTGTAGAGGTGGTCCGAGGCTATCTACAAAAGCCATACACCGCAAACTTTGAGTTCTTTGTTGAAGGACACCGAGGTAGGGACTACCAAAACTTTCTCTTAATCTGCTTTTCTTTTCTCTAACAGCGAGGCTTCTCTCAAGGCCGGAATTCGTCAGCTTCTACATCACTCACGACACTCAAAACCACTTTCTCTTGCCTGCGATTCGTTCAGGTAAGCTCCTACACCTCTTGAGTCCTGCATACAGCTAAAAAAAACTCTTCTGTCGATGGTGAAGGTGGTTTCAAGGTCACTGGCAAGGTGGCGACTCAGTGCCTCGTTTCAGAACCTCTTACCGGAGAACTAACAGTCGAGTACTCGAAGACTCCACTGCTGTCCATCGACGTTCTACTCTTTCGCGTCGAATCCATCCTCGTTTCGGACAGGAGCTCAATAGAGAGAACCGAAATCCAAACAACACAAGTAAGCGAAAACAAAAAAAATCTAAACACTGTCATCTCAGCATCGCATTTTCCACCAGATAGCCGATGGAGACGTATACCGAGGCGTCGCAATACCCATCTACGTGATTCTTCCTCGCCTCTTGACATGCCCAACGCTCTCAGCCAAGTAAGCCAGCGAGCTTTTCCTTCTTTTCTTTCCCAGGCTTGCGTAATTGTCTCCTGTTTCGTCGGCGCAGCACTTTCTCCGTGAACTTCGAGCTTTGCATGAAGATCACATTCGACACGAGGCCGAGCACGCAACTCGAGGCCGACTCAAAACAATTGGTAACATGATTGCGCCATAAATTCAGCTCTCAACCAGTTTGTCCGTGCAGGTGGCGTTTGAAACCCTTCCAGTGCGACTCCTACGATCGTGATGCAATGCTCTCGCATGAGCCGCTGGATAGCCAGGATCCAACGGCTCATACAATATACGATTTATCATTGGATCAAACGACAATCCTGTTTTTGTTTCATGAGAAATCAAGGGAAAAAAAAAGAATCATTTTTCCCGTACAAAAAGCGTCCGACCAAACGACAAAGTTTATAGACGGTCTCGTCCAGGCCTGCAAAATCCCCTCATGGATATAAGAAGAGAAAATCCACAAGAATTATTCCTGCACGGAGAGAGATTCGTTCGAATCGAGGAGGAAAGAATGTCTAGAAGATGGACGATGAGAGGAATCCTCACGGACCTTATTTGTGGAGCACCATCGCCAGAGCAGCCGCCACAACTGGTCCCAAAAGGAAGCCTCGCAGTGTACGTTGGACGAGATCGCAAGCGCTTCGTGATTCCAGTCATCTACCTCAACGATCAACGCTTCCAGGAATTGCTGGCCATGGAGGAGAGCGCCTCCTCCTCCCATTTCAGCTACCACGGTGGCCTCTTCTTTCCCTGTGACCCAGCTTCTTTCGAGCACGCTATGGCGTCCGCCGGCTACAAGCTCCAAAGCCCGAAGATAAGATCGATCATCCCCTCCCTTCCTTCTCTTAAGCTCCTTGGCTCGATTTGTCTCAGCTTCTTTGTCAGCAGATCATCCCCTTCATCCGGACTGATTCCACCACCTCGCATCGCATCGACTTGCACATCTTCTCCAGATTCGTGACTTTGGTTTGCATGGCTCGCAGCCCCCATCTCAGCTCCTCGTTTTGCATCAGAGCCCTGCGGTACACACTCGGGTCGATCGGCCCTGCCTGTTGCTGTTTCTCTGCGTCAAGAAGCCTGCTCGCCTCTTCTTCTTCTCCTCCTTGTTCTTGGTGGTGGTCGATCTTCTGTGGACTCTTGCCTGGACTTTTGCCTGGACTCTTTCCTGGATCTATGTTCTTGGCCTGGCTGGGACTGTTGTTCACGGCGCTCGAGACTGTTTGCTTGCGAAGTTCCTTCTGTGCCAACAGCGTACGCACGGCCACGGGAGCAGGAAACCGCGGGTTCTGTGCTATGTGAGCGCACGCCTTGGGGGAGAGTTTCTGGTAATTCACCGCGTTGCACAGGCTCAGCGCTTCCGCGTTTCTGATAAACGGATGAGCCTGCAAAACAAACCAAGAGCATTGAATCAGCGTTCGGTCATTTCTTTTTCACTTACTTCCAGGTAGATGTCCACCGCTCTGTAGAGTCTGTCGTCGGTTACTCTTGACCAAGGCGGTAGCACTTTCGCGAGGCGGAGGAGCTTCTGCGGGTGCAAATGCGGGTCTGGCGCCACTTCCGACAGGTACATATCCACCAGCGTTCCCAGCTTGATCAGCGCTTCCTCCCCAATGGAGCACGAATTCTCGGAAACGTAGCTCTTGAGGAAGTACCAGAGCAGCCGCAGCACAGCATCATCATCGTAGACCGGGCCTCCGGACCTCGGGGAAGTCGATGACGGTAGCAAAAGGTTGTCGAGGGTGGCGTTGTGTAGCTGCAAACCAATCATCCTCTCGATTTGTGACCGGCACAGCTTGCTCGATTCTATCCCCACGGCCATCCTATAGATCACGAACAGCGATCGGCACGTCGTCGATCCTGGTTCCAGATGACCCAGCAAGCTCACAATTGTTTCCAGCACTTCGCACTGGAGTTGCTGACCACCTTCCCGGCTCCCACCATCTTTGCCTTCACTCTCACCCGTAGCACTACTAGCACTGTGCCTGGACGAAACCCAGCTATACCCAAGCGAAGCCAAGCTCGTTTTCAAGTAGTAGAGCAAGAACCTGGAGATATAGCGATGCTCCATGTTGACTGTGAAGAGCGCTCGCACGACCCTTTCCATGAGATACATGGACAGCCCGCAAACGTCCGTGAACCACCAAGTTCTTGGAGACAGGCTCGTGGACGCTCGGAGCTCTTGATCCGGTGACATGGGCGATTCCCCGGCGGTGTGAAGAAGCTCGATGCTGGACGAGATTTTCCCTGCTGTGGCAAATGCTAGCCGTTGGACGATCCGGTGATTCTCGGCTATATGGAGGACGCTGTCACACCCCTTGAGCGCCGCTACCAAATCCTGCCACTGCCAGGAATCGACGCCGCCGAGCGCCTCCTCGGTCCTGGACACGAGATTTCCAGCCGAAATATCCTCGGTCATCACCAATTCGTCCGCGGCAGCCCTGAGCACGGCGACATTGGATGGGGCGATCTCGAGCTGGCCACCGGAGTAGCAAAAAGATGCCGCCATTTCGAATGCCGGGGCTCCGCCAGGAAAATCGCGAAGAACAAGCCGCTGCCGCTTGGATTTCCGGCTGCCGGCTGCGCCAGTGCTGCTCGTCGCGATGAGATGCCTCGCCCGCCCGGAATACTTCGCCATTTGCCTCTGTCGGATCGATCGGAAGGGAAAATTTCAAGAAACGCTATGAGATCGAGAGCGATTACCTTGCTGAGGACGAAAATGTGCTCCTCGTCGATCTCCACCTCTAGATCATTGTCAAGAACGCGCGATCTAGCTGCTGGGAGCCGCTGCCTCGCCATGGATTGAGGAGACCTCGTCGGTCTGGCGCCGATCGTCCTCTGCATCACGGGCTTGCTCGCGGCACACAAAAAGGCCTCTTCTTTTTAACCCTTTCCTGGGGTGGTGACGTGGCACTATCTAGTCGGTCCGTTAAAAGCACCGGCCAGGATTTCCGTTAAGCATGGCATATTCTTACCAGTGACAAGAATATTCCACGAATGTCTCTTGCGCGGGGCGATTTTTAAATTCAAACAATAGTTTCGCGCGGAGGAGAATGAATCCCGTGAACAATCAAACGCTCCACATCTCTTTTGATGTAAGGATTTGACCTAATGCGACCAACACAAGCAATAAATCCTTCCTGTTTTTCTTCAATATTTTCCAAACTTGGTGATCGTTGCAAACTATTCAAAATTTCCAAATTCTCTTAAACCATGATGCACTTTCAATTTATGGAGGAAAGCAAAAGCTCCACAAATACAAAAAGGTTCCAATTAAGGCATATCAATTTCAGGCTTTCACTGCAAAAGCTGCTTTGAGCGTCTGGATGGTGTCTATGCCCACCTTGAAGGCCTTGCTTAGAACTTGATCGTCGATTCCAGACCCAAAGATGGTGGCGGGGATGGAAACAGTGCCGGCATTGGAGCTCCCGAAGGCTGAGATGGCCTTGGCCGCGTACTGTCCTTCGTTGAATTGGAAGTGGACGAGACCCTTCGGAAACACGAACGCATCGCCCGTCCCAAGCTTCTGGACGAATAGCTTGTTGGTGGTGTCCACCAGGCCAACGGCGAGGGAGCCCTCTAAAACGTAGAGGAGCTCCGAGGCCCGGGGATGGATGTGTGGGGGATTGACCGAGCTTGGCTGGAAGAAGAGCTGGGCCATGGAGACGCCCAGACCAACAAGACCTGGGAATTCCACAAGCGATGCCTTCCTCACCATGAAAGTTCCTGGCGCAGCCGTGACATCGCCGCGAAAGGCAGTGAAGGTGAAGAAGCTCGCGTTGGTGGCGGTGGGATCAGCAGCATAATCCGAGACAAGCTCCGGGTCTGCGGCAAAAACTCCTACCGCGAGAAACAAAGAGCACACCAGCAAGTAAGCCATCGACATATTTCTTGATCCTTTGCGATCTAAAGAGCTTTGCTTAGAAGTGTCTATTGTTTTGGAAGGCAATTAGCTGAAGGGGAGGATGAATCCATGGGCAGAGCTGGAGGCTTTTATATTTGCAAAAGCCATAGCAACTCCAAAGTTCGTACAGATGCTAGGAAATGCGCGTGTGGGTCTGGCGGAATGAAGCAACTCAGCACACGAGACCTGGATGAAATTTGTCCTTGACTATTGTCCACCCAGGATAAGATAGACAAATCTTGTCTTCCTTTCACTGTTCCCAATCTTTCAAATGGTAAAGAATTATTAAAAGGTGTGGATTCTGGACTATATGGTTATAGGAATAACGTTGTAAAGGTATAACCGTAGCTTTTAATTTGGCAAATGTCAATGTCATTGTAGTATACTGGTGAGTATTTCTGCCTGCCACGCAGACGACCCGGGTTCTATCCCAGCAACGGCAGTCTCTTTTTCTTACGATTCGATCTCTGCTGAAAAGAAACAATAGAGTTTCCTTGTTTTCCTTCTTGTTCCTAAACCAAAGAATCTACACACCATCAACCGGGTATGTGATGCCATCCGCAAGCTTCAAGGGTATTTGGTATTGAATCGTTCTTTTCAAATCCTTTTTTATGTTCTTTCAATTTCTTTTTTCTTGCGGAGAATCATGCCGATCTTTGTTTTTTTAATTCTTCCCAGGTTCAACGAGCTGGAACTGGAATTGCCGTCTTTCAATGCCCTTTACACTATTGCCAGGATGGATAGGCCACGATCACACAGATTTGCTTCTCACAGGCAATGTATACATATGGTCGTCTATCAATCCACCAAGAAAATCGTTCCAGGATTCTAGCTTGGATTTTTCTCTTTTTCGTCTGTATTTCCTTTGTTTTCTTCCATTTCGTAAAGATAATCCCGCAGTGCAATTTGGAGGTGGATTAGCTGCCACTCTTATACGGCAGAGTGGATGCTATACGGCAGAGACAAATGGTGCAACCTTAAGGCTGCTACAAGGTACTCGTTTTTCTACGAACAAAAGATGGAATTCGATGATATTTTCTGATTTATTACAGGGATCTTTGGATGCCGGACTGAGCTCCTTTTACCGGGGGTTGCGTTATTGTATGGGGACCATATAATGCAATCTATTTACCACCAAAGACGTTCAAAGAAGATCTATGCGCGGGAAAACCGTGGACAAGCTCGATGCTCGATGCTCGCAAGCTCGTTTTGTAGCGCTGCCATCGCTGCTACTGTGACAAATCCCATGCTACTTTTCAATGTTTTCTTATGGATTCTGGCGTGATCAAGATGAGGATACAAGTCCAAGGCAAGAGCAATATTTCGAGCTGCACGACTTACACTGGGCCTGCAGATGCCAGAGAAACGAGAAATGGGGAGGCTTTGCGAGTGGAATCACGTCGAGGATTTTCTGGGGTGCTCCTGGTGGTATGATAATGTTCACAGATCCTACTACTTTAACATTAACGCATGGAATTCTTGGTTCTTCAATCAGCAGTGTGTCGCAATGGCTCACTTTTGCAAGCTTCTCCTGCTGATTCTCCTCCCTCATATTGCCCAGGCCAGCGCCCAGCCAACATAGTCATGGGAGTGACTGAGTTCCATGCCCCAGGACCGCAGTACCGCAGCCTGTCAAGGAGGTCAACTTTAAGTGATGGAAGCCCAACGTGGATGTTGTTGAGTATCTCTATGCAGAAGCGATCTCGCTTCAGAATCCTG